ACGCTAAGCTGCACCCCAAAATTCACGAAAGGAGACTGTGCACGCGATCGCTTCGCCGCACTCTCGTGATTGCACAAGTCGGGGATCTCTATGACGCGCGCCACATTCTTTATCTTTATCTGATACGCTCAAAGGCGTAGTAACAAACAGAACCACTAAAGAACTATAAAACTAAGGGACGCTTTCTTTATCAGCAAGAGCTCAAATACGGTGATTTTATAAGTGTATTTATAACAGTGTTCTGCACTGTACCTACGGATTGTTATCAGCTAGTCTCTAACAAACGTCAATATATTATCTCTTACCGCATTTTCTTTTTATCGTCTACGCTATTTGATGATATTGCGAAATATATAAACTGCTGCATGACGAAGGCTTCTTTGGGCGCGAACGCGGCTTTAAAGGCAGTAGGTCGGCAGAATGAGACCCGTCGCAAAACAAGGTCACAGGGTAGGAGCCCCATAATGGAACTTATGGGCCAAAGTTCGATCTTTCTCTGCCACTTCTAACCCCCGAAATTTCAAAGCGAAAGCAGCGCTCATCTCCTCTCCTCCCCGAACCCGCCCACCCCATGGACGAGTGACTTCCGCGGTCAGAGCGCCAGCCGCAATGCTATAAGCATGAGGTCCCGCAACGACTCTGCGTCTTCGCCATGACGGGCTTCGCGTTCACTCGTCCATGGGGTGGGCGGGTTTGGAGAGGACAGGAGATGAGCGCTGCTTTCGCTTTGAAATTTCGGGGGTTAGAAGTGGCAGAGAAAGATCGAACTTTTGCCCATAGGTTCCATTATGGGGGCTTCTACGCTGTGACCTTGTTTTGCCACGGGTCTCATTCTGCCGACCTACCGCCTTTAAGTCGTCGCTTCGCAGCAACCATTTGAGAAAAATTCTGGACTGTACTTTGATTAATTTCAAAGCGTTGGATACTTGTACACCGTGCCAAGAGAAAATGACTGGAAGCATTTATAAAAGCATTTACATTTCGTAATTACATAAAGTTGTGGAAACGTTATATGTGTGTCATGAAAACCAAAGAAAATTTCGCTCAAGAGGCAGCAGCGATTTCGATCGATACGCTAATTTTGAGTGCCCATAACTCACCAACCACTGAAGATGAAATGGAGGGATTGGTAACACTGGAAAGAAGAAAAAGCTCTTCAGCAAAAATGCCCCTAGATTTTTAAATTTTTCTCATTGAAGAGGTGAAATATTGCCTTCATTTTCGTATTCAATATCTTGGCACATTGAGTCCGCGGGTCTGGCAGCTAAAAGCCGCACCCATTAGCCACTAGACCATGGACGCTGCATACCCATTAGCATTAGACCATGGATGCTGCATTTTAGTCTTGAAATTATGTGCGTCAATCGCCTTTCTTCATCACATATCAAAGGAAAAAATGATGTTCGGTGAGAGGTGATGGAGGGAACGGTATCCAGGCTCCCGCAACGATCTTGCAGAAAAACGGGGGTTCTGCTCACGATTCTTTTCATATAATAGGATGTGCACTTGATCCCGGCCATTTCTATACTCGCTTGTTCAAGTCCGTTCCCAATTCAAAGGGCATATTCACTCAAACCTATATCAATTTCCCACTTCTTCAGTTCGGACTCAAAAAATCTTGCATCTTTTTGAGCTTTTGTTGAGCTCAAGAGTCCTCTTTCATGTTACGCTCATCTTACAAAGAACGTCTCAAGACATGGAAGGCAATTTTGAGAGGCGTTTGAGAATAATTCAAAGGCTCACACACTTTTCCAACTAACAAGGAAACCGTGTCGAGTCGAAGGGCCTGTCCAGATGAAACTCATAATGCTTTGAAGAGTATTGAACGGTGATTCCAAATCTGCCTTCCAAATCTGCCAAACGCCTCTGGACGCCGACTTATGACCATTCTTCGGAACGAAAAATGAATGCAGAATTTAGGTAAAATTGATTGTTACAATCTTTCCAGCGCTCAGATAAAGCAATGTTAAGTATTAGCATATTGAATAAAATGTATCCATTGCATGAACAGCTCTGATACTTGACACTGGAGCGTTTAAGCAAATTTGGGCGATTTTGCTTCAGTTTTGCGTTCAGTTTTTTGACCTGAAAAACGAGCATAACTCGGCGTCCAGAGGCGCTTGGCAGATTTGGAAAGCAGATTTGGAATCAGCGATTAATGCTCTTCAAAGCAGTATGGGTCTCATCTGGAAAGGCCACTTCGACTCGACACGGTTCCCTTGTAAGTAGCATGAAGCTTTGGTCCAAAAAAATTGACGGAACTTTGCATATTTTACATTTCGGTAACTCTTCCAAACTGACCAAAAAACAATTATTCGTTACCAAAAACATGTAGGTCCTCTACTTGTAGTTCGGCCGAATCATCAAAGCATGTCTTTGAGAGCAACTCGAGTGCTCGAATTTGTTTGAAAATAAGAATTTCGAGTGACCGACTAATCGAATAAACTCGAAAATGCAAATGTACTGGGAACCTTGATGGAAGAAGATCAAAAAGGTGAGATAAAAAGACGGGAAAAGATTTTGTGATGGAGAGATACAGAAGAGAATATAAGGTAACAAGCTCTGTCAGCGGTACTTGGGAACATAGCATAGTCAACTATTGTGCAAAAAAGATGCAAAATCCATTACAGACAAAGTCAACTAATCCAATCGATTTCTAACCTACATGATAGACCAGGTAGAGTAGCTGCTTTGTTTGTTTAGTGTTGTGGGTATTTACAATCCTTTTCACCTAATAATTCTTTCAATGTACAACTGCTGATGTATTAGAGACAACTCTGTACATAGGGTTATCTTAAATAAATGTATTCGTGCAACAACAATGATACACACAAACATAATGCACAAATAGATTAGAATAACAGGATTGATAAAATGGAATGGATGTGTAAGAATCGACAAAACTATCGAAACCCCCCCCCCTCACACACAACGACACTAGCGCTGTACCGAACATGTCGACAAGGATATCAAAAGTCAATGCGAAATCTGCCAAGCAACCCGGCGGGAACATCGTCACTACATAGCAACTGGGTGTTTATAAGCCGTAAAGCGAGGGACTCGTCAGCCGTTATTGCCGCAGTGGCATTCCAACACTTCAGAAGCAAAGTTTAGAGGCTCTAAACAATTTTTTCAGTGAATGTTGGAAAATTTGTCAGGTGATAAAATTAGATGACTAGCCAACCAACCCACTTTGTGTGCAGAGTCATGCGGCAAGTCAATGAATTTTTATTCTGCGCACTTACTGATGACGATGGAATCAGCGCCTTTCAAACGACTAATTCATGTGTTTCTTGTAATGTTCATGTTCACCCATTTAATTACTTCACCAATATCACGCGTCAGCAGTGGCGGTCCCAGGATTTCAAACCGGGGAAGGGGGGGGGGGGGGAAGCGCGACAAATTTTTTTTCCAGTGAAGGTGTGTGACGTTAGCCACGCACTCCGAAAAATTTTTTGGGGTGCTTCTTAAAATTTTTGCGGGTCCTCAATCGTCCCCAAAAAAATTTTTTTGCAAAGGCTAATTTGAATTTTTGAAAAATTATTTTAATTATTTACAAGTATAAACAAGTCACTTGCACATTTTTATAACCCATATAAGAGACTTTTAAAAATTTGGCGACCCATTCTCGAAGGGGGGGGGGCGCGAGCCCCCCCCCCCCCCCCCCTCGCTCCGCCAGTGCGCGTCAGTAGTAGCAACAGTAGATCACTTCAGACATACTACGAGCCAGTTTAAGGACTATCTGATGGTGTACACTTTCTCAGGAAAAGGCTCGCTACAACCTTTTCTTTAGTAATGCAACGGAAAAAATTGGCATTGCTAGATTCCTAATTACGTGGTTAGTTCTTGGCAAGAGATCATATTTGTAATAGTTCACCCTTTCCGTTAACTAGTAAGCGCTACATCGGCGTACGTTGATTCGTTTGATAGACTGGAGTCGAGATGTAGTACCTAAATAGAATACATGTTTTTTTGGAAGTTGGATACAATGCCGGACAAAAATGTGCTTCATCTAGATGATGACACTTGTGTTCTGTATACCTTTCCGCGAACAGTCCGACAACCTCTATGTCTAATTTTTCATTTATCAAGTTTAAAACGAGGAATTCCCGGGAACAGCCGTGATTGATGCACCGGTTAGTTCCTGGACAAAAAGTCGAGGTGGGCATGGAGGAAGCACAGGACTTAGCGACGGCAGCAACGATCTCGCATAGCTTCTTACATAGATTTTGGTGAATGGTCCAAGAGTAAAGATGATGGTTTCTTGTCAATGGAGACGACGGTGTGTAAGTACGCTTACGGTATTAACGACCAGCTCAAGTCTTAGGTAATCATCGCGATTTTTAATGTAATGAAACAAAATTGAAGGGGAAGACGTCACTGATAATACGTACAAAAATGCAACGTTGCGCATCTGCTAAAAAGTGGTTTTGGAAACGCGCATGACGCGATTACAACGAAACTTTTGAAATTTGGAGAAATAGCATGTTGATAATATTTTGGTGCAACAAAACTACTTCTGATCCAATGTTTCAGATTGAATCCAATGTTTGCGAGTTTGCGAGTGGTATTTTGTTGAAATGAACGAAGAGTAAAATGTTACCCGCGTTATTTTTCAGTCATGATACGATTAATGAAAAATCCTACCATCCTGAACACATTCAAAGCATAATAAGTTTTGCTTTCAGGAGAGTAAGGAAGAGGCCCGCTGTCAACCAAGAATTGACTATTTGGAAGTTTATAATTTAGCATCACATGTTAGATAATGCCTAAAATTTGAACCACCTACCAGTCTTGAATCATAAAGTTCTAACCCTACTCAATGTTACTGCATAGAAGCCCAGATATGTGGAATAAGTTAAACCATGGCTAAGTTTAAGAATTCTGCACTATGTCGCAGACATCTCAGGTGTTACCTAAGCTTGCCATCAATTTTTAATGAATTCGTGCGGCATTAACATGCTTTCGTGTCATCGCTAGTCATTCAATCGACAGCCGTCATGGTAAGTCAATTCTGTAAGAATAAGCGAACCACTTTATTCGTTTTCGGTTTTTCTTATGTTTGGATGTGTTGTAGTTCGGCTGGATTCACGAAAGTCTTCGTCAACTGGTGTACAGAAAATATGGTAGAGAAGTTTGGCGAAAGATTCTGTAAGTGAAGAGTTTATTTTACATCCTCTACCTTAAGCTCTACGTGCATGCATTGACATGGGAAAAACTATGTTACTACAATATTATCTGTGGGCAGAATAGATAATTATTAAACACGTATTGTGCAATGTTTGAAAAGGAGATATTTAAATGTGAATCTAGGGTTTAAGTCCGTAACTGTCATCACTGAGAACTAATATCTTCATAGACTCCCGACTGTGATGCCACAACTTACGGGGTATCTAATTGTAAGCAGCGTTGTCAATTCCAAGATATCTCCACAAACAAAAAAGGCCTAATCTAACATTTGGAGGCGATTGTGAGGTGCCTCTTATGTATTTCCCATTGTAGTTACATTGATCATCGTGTCAACACTAAAAAAGAGCCATTTGATGCCTTTATCCAAATATTTAGTGAGATGGCCAAGTTTGAGGAAGGCACAGAAAGCGAAATCGCTCATTATTACAATGATGTCGAATCAATGAGACTAGTAAATTCGATGGCAAGTATTATTGGTAAGTTTATCTTTACTTCGCTTCATCCCACTGTGTATGAATGTCTTTCTTGAGGAATTCCTGTCGAAGAGGTTTGGGAAGCTTATGGTGGTTTCCTCATTCAATTCACCATGGAGACAGGATGGGACGAATTATTGCGCGCGATGGCTAGCGATCTCGAGGTATACGTCGTGCATATTAGAGCGTACTTTAGCATGTTTGATGCACTGCATTACGAAATAGTGTTAGGTTGTCCGCAAATTGATGCAGGTTCCTATGCGATCGCGGCCGTGTCAACGTAAAAATGTGGGGAGCATATCAGTCGATAGAGCAAAGGCACCTTCTACAGGACTGCATTAGAGCGATCGCCAAAAGTTCGATCTACGTGCACTTCGAAAACAAAATCCAAGAAATTCAAATACTCAAAAATCAGATCTCCGTTTAAAAAGCTCCTGCCGGCCTCCAACTCGGTCACGCATATGCTTCCTACATCAAACATTTATATGCACACCTACCACATCTTTACAATGGCTGAAAACTGGAAATATATAATGGACCAAAAATGCGAAAATATCGCCCTTTTTGGGCCTTTTATGCTAAACTCAATATTTCTCGGGAATTAACCCTTGGAGTAAGCTGAAAATCTGTGGGTGTACTTAACCTGTACCTACAGGTTTGTAGTATAGAACTACTTATGTCAGAATGGCTCAGCACTGCATTGAATAGGGCGTGGCAACTTTCATTTTCTCAGTTTCTAAGCGTAGACAAAATATCGCAATTGTCCATATGAATGTTTGATGCGGACACTATATGCCTGACCAAGTCGGAAGTTCGCAGGATGTTGTTGGACAGAAATCTGATTTTTCGGTGTTTGAATTATTTGGATTTTGCTTGCAAACTCCATGTGGAGCAAACTTTCTGCGAATAAAATCTTGTAGAGGTTGCTTTACTCTATCCAATGATGTGTTCCTCACATTTTTATGTTTACACTGCCGCGATCGAATACGGAACTTTTATTAATTTCCATACAACCTGATAATATCGGACAAATTCAATAACAGATAGAGGACCTGGCATCAAACAATTTTGGAGTACCAGTATCCTGAAGTTTCACCTCTCGCCTCATATGTTGTTAATCAAAATGGTACTAATTTTGCGCCAGTAGGGCCTCATTTTTTAGGTTACGGTGGGTATACGTTGCGGAATTAAATTTATAGCCAAAACTTCGCAGAGGATGAGCTATTGGGCATGGTGATCAACCTTTCACCGTATATCTACCGTATACCTAACGCAATTTCAACGAATCTCTCCGCCCCCCCCCTCCTCCTTTCCCAAGCGGGGAACTGGCATGCGTGATATGCAGCACTGAGATATACGGATAATTTTATTCAGAACATCTGTTTAGGGTTTTCTTGATTCGCTTGACTCGCTGCATTACTTCATCGACCATGTTGTCTATCAAACGAAATTGCGTGGTCCATCATTCCGATGCGAACCTCAACCAGATGGAACGCTGCTTCTTCATTATTATTCCAAGAGAAGTGGACTTTATCCGATTGTCAAAGGTTGTTATTGACATACTCCCCGTAGTAGTCTTTGAAGGACTGGTAAGACAGGGCTTGAATCCCTAGAGCTATCTGCGAATAATCTCTAAAACTATTTCTAGTCGAAACCTACATTAACATTTTTGTTTCACATTGCTGTGAAAATGAAAATTGGAATGTGAAAACGTTATAGGAGTCGTCCGAGAGGTGGCTCGTCGTATCTACGAGACCGAAGTTATAATGAAAGTACAGGAAAGGAAGCAGGAGCACTTGGGTACGATCGCAACTGTAACATTACAGTGCTGGCCAAAACTATAGCTCCATCCTAAAAAACGCCGTATTCACTCGTATTACCCTAATTTCACGCGTACAAGGCGCACCTTTTTCGATTTTTCGACTAAGCCCGTCAGCCGCTTTAAATTATTTCGGAAAGCGATCCTTATGCCGTACGATTCTCTTAAGCAATATACAGCAAGGCATAGGATCCTTTGGTTGCGAAGTTCTTTGGCGTATTTGGGCTGGTCGATTTTGGAAAAAAATCCCCCGCGCCTTGTACGCGTGAAATTAGGGTAATAAATCGACCTCAAATCTAATACAGATGCGTGTTTACGGAAACCTGCGTTTAAGCAGAATTTTTGCATTTCCTTAGCTGATTTGTAAGCGACAGTATTCCGTATTTCTTCTAGATACTTAGCAAAATGAGCACTAAAGAAAAAATACGAATTACTACGATTGGAACAAACACGGCGTCGACTTATCGCAGGCCCAAGCTCGAACCTCTGCCTTCAAAGGCAGCATCCAGCCAAATCTGGAAATATGAGGATCTCGCGTGGATAGTAATTTTGCGGCCTTAACTAAGCCACTGCCCAACCGGCAGCTCAGGTAGGTGCTCTAACGGCTGAGATATTCCCCTCAAAATTGGACCTCAGGACCGTATTTCGCATGGATTCATGGCGCAACCCATCATTTTCGCGTGGGTCCTCGCGCGAAACTGATGGGTTGCGCCATGAATCCATGCGAAATGCGATTCTGGGGGTCCAGTTTGGGAGCGTGTATCTCAGCCGTTAGTGAGTCACCTGCGCTCACGCTTGGGCGATGCCTTAGGCCCCAATACTTTCCACGTAAAATTCCCATTGGTCCAGATTTGTCTGGACGCTGCCTTTAGACTCCTTTTGCGCTATCGTTGTAAGCTCGGGATATATTAGAACCAATGTTTTACAGAAGAAGTACTCTGTAGACTATACTCTCGGGTGTTCAAAGTTGTACTTTGCTTCATTTCGAAAACATAAGTTTGCAATTCACAGTGTCATGCAGACTTGAATATCGCACCGAATGTTACATTTCGACAGTCTTCTATTGTTGGATAGGAAAACAATTGCTAGTGTATTCTATTGTTAGATAATGAAAACAACTGCTGGTGTATGTTTCACGTGGATTTTCAATGATTTTTGTTGAATTCAGGAAACTCTGGGCTTGTTGCAGTTGATATCGGTATGATGATTTGCACAATTATGCCTGCATGCTAGAACGTGTAAAAATCTGTAAGCATGGCATACAAATTCCCGTTCATGCAAACAATGCCTTCAATTCGCTTATTGTGCACAAAAACTTTCTAGAAAAAGTTTGATGGCAGAAATTTGAGAAGCCTGCGGTTAAGTCTCAACAGCAGGAATTCCAAATTTCCCTTATTGCTCAAATCGCGAAGCATCTATATGGCAAACGGAAACCCGTTGCTTAAGCTCAGGTAGTGCAGAATTTTTGCCCAACGCAAGTTTGAGGAGTTAATATCGTGTAGAAAGTAAAATCAAGTCGAAAAAGGTGATGAGGGTTTTTTATAAAGATATGCAACTCCACCAAAGCAGCTGTTTTACACTTTTGACTATGTACTTATATAAAGAAACTTTGGGAGCCGAAAAGCACATTGATAAATAGAAATTCGAGGTGGATATATAGTTAGCCAGCCCCTAACCGAGCATTTCTCTAAATTTTCAATTTTTTCTCCGATAATTTGGAGAGAGCAAAACCCGTTCTGGCTAGTGGCAGTAGACTTTCACTATAGTTGTAACGAATAAAATTTTCGTCGGATGAACCAATATCGAATAGTTTATTTCTGAAAAATTTCCGAATGAATGACCATCGAATAATCTGATTTCGAAAAATTTTTAACGAACGAATATCATTCATTCCGATTTTCATATAATGCGAATTCGAGTCGAATGTCGGCACATTTCAACACTCAAGCTTTCGAATATTCGAATAACCAAACTTGATCGAATAATTCATTCATTTCATTTATTCAAATAATCGATTAACTAGATATGGTCGAATATTTGAATGCTATTTGAATATTCGAATATTTGAACAACTATTTTCTGGAACTTCTCGAATAACTGTCTTTTAAAGATCGTCGAATATTCAAATATTCAAATAAGTCATTTCGAGTCTTCAGATAAACGAATTACTCGAAAAGAGGCCTTTTTCGTTTATTCGATTAATCGAATAATCGAATACTTCTTCGAATATTCGACTAATCGAATATTCAAATAGTCGAATATTTCATAAATCAAACACGAATATTCGGTTCCAATTATAATCTGTACAAGGTTTCAGATCAATTCGTTAACCGCGTTCGGGATTGTTTAAGGTGGATCTGTAGTTTTGGTCAGCACTGTAGTATTGGGTCATTCCGAAAGTAATTTCTTTCTAAAGGGGCGCCACATCTGAAGGAAAAGTGTTTTCTGAGAGATCTTGGTAGCATTCGATGCAGCATTTCATCCTTTTTTGAACATTCTTAAAATTGTCGCAGCTCAGTCATTGAACTTTCGGAAAATAATCAAAGCCTGAAACCCATGCTTTTTGAGGTGGTCAAGTTTCACAATTTTCTAAAACTTTCATATCAACCCTCAAAGGGAGTTCAAGCAACGATTAGATAGAGCAAACCCTACAGGATACAAAACAATTTTTTCTCCTTCACAAATATCCTCAAAATTTGTTAATAAAATTTCAAGTGATGCTAAAAATTTCCATACTTGGTCAACTCAAATCTCATAGAACATCAATGAAAGAGCTCGGATGCTGTGTGGTACAGCTTTTAATAGGCGTTCTTTGTTTCCGATTCGTTCAGTCTTCGGGAATAAAGTCATAACTCACATTTTTAACGCGAGCAAGGCTGTACCTGAAAAACTCGAAGTTCAGTAGTATTTCGAACCCCTAAACTCTCATTTGCTTTGTAAAATTAGTGCTAACTCATAGTACCATCTTGGTAGTCTCAAATTTTCAATATTTATGATGTTTAATGCGGTTGTGGCTAATGTAGGCCTGCCAAATTCTGATGGCTTTGTTGAAAAACCTTTTGAAAGATTATCGCGAGCTTTAAAAAAGAGAAGAAAGTTGTACTGTATTCTATGAAGGTTTGCTCTATCGGATCCTCACTCGATCTCCTTCCGAGGATTCATATGAAAGTTTTAAAAAATCGTGAAACTTGACCATCTCAAAAAGCATGGGTCGCAGGTTTTGGTTATTTTCCGAAAGCTCAATGATTGAGCTGCAAAGATTTCACCAATGTTAGAAAGAGGATGAAATGCTGCATCGAACGCTTCCAAGGCCCTCTTAGAAATCTTCGTTCCATCGCATGTGGCGTTCGTTTGAAAAAAGCGAAATTACTTTTGGAATGACCTAATATATTCCGTTCACCTCTGTTTCTAGACGCTTTTGTGACCGAACACGTTGTGTTTGTTATCAGTCAAGTTGATACTGGAAATGGCCAACCAGCAAAAGCGATTTCAAGCAAGCCGGAGCAGTTCGATGCAAATGTGGTCAGTAAGAGAATTTATTTATCAAAGCATGTATAAGTAATGGAGTCTATAAGCTAACAAAATCTAATGTCATTGCGACTCATGTCAGTTTTTATGATAATGACTAAGCGATCGTATGCTAAACCTATGGTGTACACTTTTAATTTGTAAAAGGATTTATAAGTAAATCCGAGAAACTATTTAATGTGGTGATAAAAGGAAATCGCCTAAATCTCAGTCTACCTATATTTAGGGTGTATTCGACATTAGTTCAGACGACTTTTCCATTGCTTTTCCCTACCATATCTGTTTCGATAAGGACCTATTTGTTGAACATTTCGGACACTATATTCGGAATGCATATCCAATGGCAATACGTCAAGAGACAAGAGTTTCTGATATTTTGGAGCTGGTACATCCTGAGGTTTGTGGATAGTTCCATCACTCTGGAGAGTCACATTACGATCATTTTCAGGTGCCTCTATCCTACGAGTCGATTCTAGCATTCAAGAATAGCTTATTTGTTTTCAAAATGAGAGGTATCGGAGATATAGTTCACCAGAAGGATGAGGAAATGAAACCTATTTTACTCAAAGGTGAGTTCCACTAAACGATTACGATAGCTTACTATTCAATCATTTTAGCACAGGTGGATTTTATTTCAATTACTCCTAGTTTAGGTTCAATGATCCTGATCGGTGGTGGCAACTACATTCTTTACATCTCTTCTGTATATGTCACTACAGTACGCGAATTAATTGAAAGAAATCTTCATATCAGTGACATGCAGCGACATGATGGCACCAGAGATTTGATTATGCTCAATCAGAGTCGAATGAGTCAAGTTGAGCTAAAGTACGTGGTTCTGTGTTGTTTGCTAATTTTGCAACATTGAAAAAATCAGAAAGATAACGGAGTTTTCGTAGTTCATTAAACATTTGCTGATTACCAAACAAATCAAACCAATGTGCATAATCTGGTCTTTAGAAGTTTGTGTGGTTCCAGAACAGTTTTTATTTATTTATTTATTTATGGGTGAGTGACTTTTCATACGATGAGCAATCCCGAGGTGTGAGGTGTGAAACCTACGGCTAAGTGTCAAGTCTCGCACCTCCGTGTTTAGTATACTGTAGAGAGGGGGGGGGGGGAGGGGGACTTTTCATACGAATGCCTCCACATCATCTTTTGGCAAAGATCGAGTAAAATAGGCACCATGCCAGGTTTGGGCCTGCTGGCTCCATTCCAAAAAAAAAACATCTAGATTAGCTTTTGCAGTTCCGCGAATTTGGATAAATTTGGAAAACTTGAATACTGTATGGATTCAAAAAGTGTTTTGCTGTGAAAATAACACTATGATCGTTCCACTTACGAATTTTTTGGTATTCAAGTCGACATAATTCGGTCTCTTTTGCAAACGTTTTGAACTGATTTAAGTATTGTCACATGCCTCTCCGACCTTTCAGCATGACCTGGAAGTGTTACTCTTCCCATAGGGGATATTGGAGGGGGAAGACGGTGAAGAGGCGCGATTTTTCTGGGTGTCATCAACTTCAAACTCCAGTTTCATGCTGTGGAAAAATTCAAAAAGTGCCGGACAAAGTTCATTACTTATTAGAGGCTTACTAGCTGATTGGAGTAATCACTTGATAAGTTTAACGACTTTTGCTAGAAAACTGAAAGAAATATTTACAAAATTGCTGTTAACTGCATTTTTATGTGTTTTTGACCTTTAACAATTTTGTTTGAAATCGATTTCAAGATGATGAGATTGAACAATCCCTAAATTCCCCAATATATTTCTTTCGAAATTTCTAGTAATTCTAGAACTTCATAAAACACTAAATATATGCTATATGCTGCCCATCTGGGAATAGGAATCGCGCCTCTTGACATATCTACACCCATTGGAGGGCATGCGACTCGATAAAGCGATCTATTCATTACCACAATTGTGCCAGTTGTTTGTGAAAATGAATGCGCTGTGGCCTGACGATCTTTACCATGATACGCTATTTCAACCCGATAAGCTTTATACAACAGTTAAAATCAAGATATTCTTTAGTTTACGCATTTTTGATAATAAACATTTCATTTTAGTCCATTATAATCGATAACTGGACGTATTACCAGCACCCTAGCATACGCTAGAGGGTCAAAGTGATCGGGGAGCGTTCGTATGAAAAGTCCCCCTCCCCCCCCCCCTCACCTAGGCGTAGTGGAGAATCTTACTCATTACGTGGATGGAGAGGTGCGATGTAGGTGTGAGGTAGGTGCGAAGGCTAGGTGCGAAGTCCGCGATCGTATGAAAAGTCCCCCCCCCCCCCCGTTTATTTATTTCACATGCACAAAAGTGCGCTAAAAAGAACACATACATGAAATAAGTGGTATCAGTAGAATCAGTAGCCAATTTGAGTCCCTGGCTGGAACAAGCAGGTCGTTCTCCATTCTCCGTATGGCGGTAAATCCTCAACCGAGTTCCTGTTCCCTGTCCAAACGCAAGAACGTGGCTAAAGCTACCAGGGCTTGTCCGAACAACTTAACCCGGACGAACGAATCCGCCCAGGACCCTGGGCGAGTGGACAGGAGGGATCTCAAGGAAGGGGAACGCCAACTTTTGCTTTCCTTGAACGGCTAATCCAGGCGGAGAGACTGCAGATCTGTTCAAAACGGTTAGGCTACCAAGATTCAAATGCAGTTGCTTCGTAAAAAAAAAAGATCCAAAAGAGGTACAAAAATTTATAAGTGGAAGGTTTGACAAAGAGTAGGCAAAAGATGTGCAAAAAGAAAACACCAGTATGTTGTGTATCACCAGGGATGGTTAAACATCCGGAATTCTCAGCACTTGTAAAACATCTATCGATTTCAACTTTTTGCGAAACTCAGCTGAAGTTCTACAAGAAATTACTTCTAATGGTAGTTTGCTGAGCCATCTAGCTGTGCGGCAAACAAATGAGTTGAAAGCTTTGGAAACGTACTTATTCCCCAGTTTTTGGTAACCTAGACCAAAACCTCCTGTTCTCCCACACGGCTTGAATATCCATTACCGACTAGGTCTTAACCTTGTTTCGAGGCGCAGAATTCTAAAACAGAATATTAAATCATTACATATCCTTCTATACTTCAGACTGTGCAGCCTTAGTGCAGATAGTCTAGAATGATACTATGGTAAAGATCTAGGATAGTTAAAATCTGGGTAACATCTATAGTATCTAGTCATCTATAGATAGTATTCATACAAAATACTATGATGTTTCGCTGTCACAATAAAAAATCATACGCTCAAGTCTTGTCAAAGTTTTTACAAGAATGTTTCTGTGGGATTCGCAAAAAAAATAATTAAAATCAAGAGTGAAGCCCAACTTGGCTCTCATTGTGTGAAGGGCTGCTGCAAAGAGAAAAGAGGACAAAAAGGGAGGGAATTGTGGAACTACATATTGAACTTAGGGGATAATCATATCATCAAGTCCATTTTGGTCAGAAGCTTGGTTGCCCCGTAATAAAAATAAATGCGTGAAATGCATCTCAGCTTAATTCTTGGTTTCTTCTTCTGTGAGAAATGATGTCCACTCAAATTAGGACGAATCAAAATAACGCTGAACCTAACATTTTGCATTTTCCTAGGGAAGATTCAGCATTCTGAAAAGATAATCTTACCATTTCAGCCGCAAGCTGGAAGAAACGACTAAAAGTCTCAAGAAAATGGCAAACGAGTTAGAGATAGAAAAACAGAAAACGGACGAACTTCTGTGCGAGCTGATGCCAGCCTCTATCGCTGATGCTCTACGACAGGGGAGAATGGTGGAAGCAAGTGAGTATCCGTAGTTAACCATATAAGCAGTAAAATCTATAAATAGCACCGTAAAACCCGACTTAACTATTAACGTAGTGCTGTGATGAGAACAGCAGTCGAGCGTGAAAAAGGCCATGGAGCGCAGAAATCGAGTATGTACGCTCTATGACCAGGGCCCGGCACCGATGGTTTGGGGTCAAACTGGACTTCGTTTTTGGAGTTAGAAGCAACGGGGACATCGTTTTTATGAGGTCCTGGAGGAAGCGCCAAAAAAACACGACGAACATGTCAGGTTTCACGAGTTGAACGTGTTCTTTCGCAAGCGCGCGAATTTCAAATGCAAGACTCAAACAAACAAATGGCTTGTTTACAGCACACAAACAATCACATGGCTCCGAATTTGGGCTATGTGTATACAATATTACTCCAAACTATGTTATGTAAAAAGTTCCCAAAACTTATGTGTCCTAATATCCGTTTTCGAATTTGTTGATTTCTAGAACAACTACCAAACCAGCTGGGTTGGTTCGGAGCATAAATATCGGAGAGTTCACATAAGTTTTGGACCTTTTTGATTTGGACGATTAGAACGGTCAAAAATCTATCATATAGTGAAAAGAGCGGATCAAACCGTTGCCTCTTCCCTTTTTTTGAGTCAAAAGTAGTATAATTCTACGCGATAGATATCGCGCTCCAATCACTTGCGGTGTCCTTTGAAATATGTGACGAAATTGCATCGCAGGATTGTTGAGGCTACGGATTTGGCTGGCATAGGAGATTTTCGACATTCCTAGCATCAAAATGGTACTATACCCAATGGCAGAGCCTTTAATCGACTCGAAATGTTTTCTTTTTGCTTTTTTGTTGTATTGCATACCTCAAAATGCGCTTTTTTCGCTTTTTTGTTGCTATTTTGGTTGAATAAGGGTTTTCCTACTGATTTTCACGTCGAGAGGGACTTCGTAAATTTTCGCGAAGTCATGGGGGACTTCGTTTTTTAAAAACCTCCAAACCAACGCGTGCCGGGCCCTGTCTATGACCATTCTTTAGGCCTTGGCCATATCTCAAGCGATTTCAGTGGCGACGCGGTCTGGCAGTTGTTCATATTTCTTTAAAGCCATCATTGGCAGACCGTAATTGCATATATACAGCTTTCGTAGATTTATAATATACTTTGTATTCCGTACATTTAAAACGATGAGTTACGGACATTTGGATTACTGCCAAGTCTCGTCGCGGCTGAAATCGCTTGAGGTAGGGTCAAGGCCTTATGCATAATTTTTGTCAGCACTCATGCACCATATCACTGCTAGATCAGACAGTGAAAGACTACGAAAAATTGATCTGCTTTTATAAGAGTTTTTCTTGCCGAAAAGGTTATGTGTAATAGATCATTACCATTAAGCTGGTCATTTCATGTAAACACACTATAAATATAAACTCTGTTGTTATTGCCAACAGTTGCTAAGTTGTTGCTAACAATGTCGGTTTACTTTCCAGGTGATTTTTCGGACTGCACACTACTGTTCACCGATATTGTGACTTTTACCAACATATGCGCAAAATGCACACCGTACGACGTTGTAACGCTGCTAAATGATCTGTATCTGAGGTTTGACCGGTTGATTGGATTGGTAAGTCTTAGCGCGAGTGAGTTGCGAGCCAGATAAGCATCCGTCAATGTTTGTCCTATCTGCTCCTCCGAAAATGAATGCTAGGAATTCTTTAGATTTCAAAATTATCTGTTAGTGATGTGAAATACTGCATGATCATTACCTGAACTACACTTTGTATACAGCGGTATTTGACATGATCCCAGTGGAAAGATAAATGACCTCTCGATAACAGCATGTTTAGCACGGCGTATATAAAGTGGAAACTATTGGTGATGCCTATATGGTCGTTGGAGGAGTGCCTGATCCATGCGAAAATCATTCTGAAAGAGTACTGAACGTGTCTATAGGTAAATCTAAATTTTCACAACAAATTTCATCGCTATATCTGAGTTCATGTGGAGTCGTTGCGGTGAAAAAACACTCGCTGTTGATAGCGGCCGCTACTCATCACTTTTCTGCTGTGCATCATCAGGGGAGGCGGTCAAGAGGCGCGATTTTTTCCGGCTGTCACCGCTGAAACCGAGTCAGGCTGGATATTGCTCCTGGGTGAAAAAGCAAAGGTTATATCGTTGTTGCGGGACCCCCGGATAAGAGCTCTGACTTTCTTTGCGTATCAGCGGCGTTCGATGCGCAGAGCGGAACACGCAAACGCCGCTGATAAGGCAGTTGCACGCCGCTCTTATGTTGTGGGACTCCGCTCGCAAGAGAAGGGTATGCCGTGGCACGTCAAGAGGACATTTTCGCTAAGGACCGCAGTCTCACCCGACTTTTGGTCACTAGACTGATTGTACCATTAGCTGGTTTGGATGTTGCTGTTTCGATGTTTTCATCAAACCCATCAAACCGAGATGATACTGCACCACATATTGTGCATCACCCCACGACTTTTTACTAGTAAAATAGTTTATAAGAAAGTGTCTGAAATAAATGTTGAGAGATAATTATTGAATCTAACTGTTCCTAATTTTGCCGATGAGAGGGAAGAAGAAGAAGTTTTAGAAATCAACAACTATAAACACCAAGTCGTGATATGACGTGCATGGTTGTGATATATAAGGTTACATATGACTCGAGTATAGGTAAGCGCAGGTTATGCCTGGAACCTTTACGTGGAAAGCTAAATTCTAGAGAACTGCCGGTTGGGGCCCTGTGGCAGAGAAAGTCACTTCGATTTTTATGTTGGGAGAAAGGCGAATCTATCCAAAATAGAATGCCCATGACGACAATAACAATAGCACATTTGTTGACGTCATACAAATTAATCTTCAGGATTGTTGATGGAATCCAAGTTGGTACTATCACCAATTACGCAGAAACCTATCAAAATTCGCGTGGGCGTTCACGCTGGCCCAGTAGTAGCAGGTGTCGTAGGCATGAAAATGCCAAGGTAAACTACTCATCAGGATGAGTAATTCTATCTGATTCCTCTTTTTAAGGTACTGTTTATTCGGTGATTCTGTGAATGTTGCGAATAAAATGGAGTCATGCGGGGTTCCAGTGAAGATCCACGTTTCGGAAAGTGCGAAAACGAATGCGCTGCGCTCGAATCAAAACTTCGTTTTTGTCGACAGAGGGATGACCGATATTAAGGCAAGCGGAAATTAGTATGTACTAGCTGGCTTACCCGGCTCCGCCCGGCCCTGTCAAAACACTATGATAAACATTCCTATCCCTGGACAACCTTTCCCTGTGCCCACTTCTACATACCAACCCCAACTCCCTATTCCCGCTGTGTTAGTTATCAGCAATCACTTATTCCTGTGCGAATCAGCTCCGTAGCTCAAACTTTGCAAAAAAATCGATAAAATCGATAAAACTAATGAGATTTAGAGGACTAATATTGTATTCGAAATCAGCATGCTCGATTACTCCCCCCCCCCCCCCCCCCACCTGTGCCAACTCCCAGCCCCGTAGGTCGAACCTTGCAAAAAATCGATAAAAATCGATAATATTGATATAGATCGATAACGAAAAGTAGCCTACAACACCCGCCCCGCCCCCGATATGTGTGCCAAGTTTGGTCCGGATCGGTTCAGAAATAGAATTGTATTCGGAACATACGTACAGACAGACAGACAGACAAACAGACAGGCATACAAACAGACATTCATCTTTAAATATAAGATTTGGAGTAACTCAGTGCTTGTGTCATATGGACAATGCTTGCAGTAAATTGATTACAGCAAGCATCCTATGTTTGTTTTGTATTTACGTTTGACTTTGATAAACAAGCACAACATTTTGTGTGTCTGCTTTCAACCGCAGAGTTTTTCTGCTTTTACATTTGCTAAGAAAAGTAGATCCTTTTTCTAGGATGTTTATTAGGAAAGTTCAATATTCCAGTCTCTTCCCATTTTTCCTGGTTTTTAAATTTGCTGAAAGACATCTTATATAACCACTACCAATCTGGATTACAACCTTAGGTCTTACAGACCGACGAAGTTTCAATTTCGAGCCAAAAGCTAATTTTTATTATGCTGATAAGTTGTCAACTTCAGATTTTGCTTTCATAGTCTCTTTGTAACTAAACTGTATCTATGTACACATGCACTAATCTCATTCATAACATTTCCGCTCCTTGTTTGTCTCATTTGAATGATTCTAGGGGAAAGGACCCATGTATACCTACTTTCTTGAAAGAAATGACAGAAAAAGCGTCTGGGAGCTGTGTGCTCGACCTAGATGTGAGTAAAATTTGTAGTGATTTTTGTGAATTTTCCGCTATCAAATTATTTTCAGCTGGTGAGCAAACGATCGATGGATATTTGGAACTGCATGATTTTTCTGTCTACCAAGAGGACAACCCAAAGGACCAGGTGAAGAACGGCGTGACAAAGCCGAAGGTAATGATTTTGGCTCTGTTTCAAACGTCTCATGAAAACAGTTCAAGGAGATCGGGCCCGGAGCAGATCCTGCTACTCATCACGTCAGATCTCCAACTTGTGCTATTTTGTGAATCATTCGAGATGATATATCATTGCAAGACCATTCCATAAAGTAAATTTGTCAACTTTCAATCATCGAGGAAATTGGATTTAACTAAAATTTTCGGAACAATCTTTCATTTTGCGTCATGAGGCTTGAGTGACTGGTACTGCCTTACCATCATCCAACCTGCACAAATGAGACGTCTTTAGATTGACAAGAAACGCTAAAAAGTATACGCCAGACTGGCTGCAAAATCCCAGCTATCGATCTTATCACAAAGTGCCGTAAAAATTGTGCTCATTCAATAAGATTTCAAACTACTAGTTTGAAAAAAAACCAGCTCTGAAATGACGAGTTGATGAAGGAAGTTTGATGCAGATACATCCTTTTCCATAGGCCGGAACTCTGATTATGATGCTTCGTTTATGTAGGATATCTCATGCCACATATAGGCCCGTGGATGGTCGAATTGGTGCAATTTGGAATGCCTCACAATCCTTTCCTGCAGGGTGTGCTTAAATTCTCAAAGTTTGGCTACAAAAGTGCCAAATGCAAAGCGCGAGTTTTATCGTTGTTCACTACAGATGAAGCCAAAGCTTGTATGTGTCCATCCACAAAACACTTGTATGTAAATTCTCTACAGCCTGACAACAAATTTGGGAAGACAGAAAGTGATATATTGAGAAGTGACCATTTTATGACCCAGTTGTGCTTTGTGACGACTGAAAGATTTAATTAGGTAGTTCAAATGGCTCAAGATTGCTTTTCCACAAATTCAGCTCACCTGAACTAACAGAAGTTTTGTAGTCACATGCGAGACGAATTTTGTAGTCTAAATATGGCTCGAAGGCAGCGTTCAGGCAAAATCTGAGCCCCTCCAGCTAGTAACCAGCCCGGGTTGACCTCAGGAGAAGCATACGCGTTGGTCCGCTCCTCCTATGGTCGTCTCTGAATGATGAAAATGGACCTGGAACACACGAAGTGCTAAAGCCACGCTTCCCTGATCAAGCTCCCACCCAGGTGCTGAAAATTGTTTTCAAGATAGGGCCCTCAAAGGGTTTTTTAGGATGTAGACATTTTTGGGATGGGATTTACACATTTCTAACTTCATACTGCAGGGGTCACGGAGAGGCCCCAAAATGACAGAACATGGAAGGCGAAATCTTGGGTGGGTGCTGCCTAAGAAAGGGAATTGGCCATCTGACTTTCTCAGAGCATTTCGATAGGACTTTAGCATGCGAAAATTCTGAGAAATAATAAAAAATAGTGTGGCCAGTTCAATCCTTAAAGGCAGTGTCCGGCAAAATCTCCCTTCCTGCTTTCACCTTTTCGGAGCCTCCTTGCCATGCTGAACTCATATTTGGGCTTTGCAGCGCACGAAAATGGGAAGGTGAGCTTTTCCATGTCTGCACTCAGTGCAAAATACGTGTAACTGGGCGAGATTCGGAAGAAGAGGCGGGGTCCGTAAGACTTCCTGGGTTCCAGGCTTCCCAGACGCGCTTTTTCGCTCCAGACTTTACTGATAGATTAATTGTGGGGGGGGGGAAGCCATGCAACGCTTCAAAATTCCGATACCCGTAATTTTGGGAGGTTTCCATTGGGAATTATGAGACGCGACCAAATGGAAAACAGACCTTACCCAACTATTATCTAGAGCTTTGCATTTATGGATGCATTTGTCCTCTAACAAAAAATGAAGCGTGTAGTCGAAGTGGCCTTTCCAGACGAGCCCATACTGCTTTGAAGAGCATTAAGCCATGATTTCAAATCTGCTTTCCAAATCTGTCAGCCGCCTCTGGACAGCTATAGGCGTTTTTCAGGCCAAGAAATTGAACGCAAAACTGGAGCAAAATCGCCCGAATTTGCTCAAATGGTCCGGCGTCGAGTTCAGAGCAGTTCATGCAACGGATACATTTTGTCAAATATGCTAATACTTAACATTGCTTTATCTGAGCGCTGGAAAGATTGCAACAATTATTTTTACCTATATTCTGCATTCATTTTTCGTTCCAAAAAACGGTCATAACTCGGCGTCCAGAGGCGCTTGGCAGATAATGAAAACAGATTTGGAGCCATCGTGCAATGGTCTTCAAAGTGCTATAAGTCTCATTTAGAAACGCCACTTCGACAAAACACGCTTCCCTTGTAAGCTTGTAGTGAAGAAAAGACAACATATGTAGCATTAAGTGAGCAAAACTTTATCAGCTCTTAAACTAACCACCTTTGATAATGCGCTGGAAGCAGGTAAATGTGCTTTCGTGTAAGATTACTTTGATATGAGCACGGAAAGATTCATTCCATCAATTGAATACAAAACCATTATTGATCCAATTTTACAGTTAAGGCTGCATATAGAATAATCAGAGGTCAGAATAAATTAACAACAGAGCAATAGATCATTCAAGACAAATGCTTCTCATCTTGGAGAAGTCAAAACCGTGGTCATGTCACCGTGAAAACGAATTCAGCAATTGAAAGAGTAACATAAAAAAGCATCAACGAGTCCTGAGCGATGAGAGTTTCTTTTCACTTGCAAATAACATCTTGAGAGCCACTTGATAGTCTCTGTTGAACACCTGAGAAGGAGAATAATAAGAATGTAGAAGTGAGTGACGATGACATACCGTGTATATAATAGGATTCATTGCGGAATTACTATAGCCTAGCCATGTGATGAACATCTCGATGTGCGGATTCGGATTACAGTACTTGCAAAATTGCACCAATACATACATCCTAGAATGAGTTTATCCCAGGAAATCATCTGCTGTAGATATCTCCATCAATCACAAGAGGAAGTCCAATCAAAATCGAGATTTCACATAAATTGTATGGGAATAAAATTTGAAGTGACTCAAGGCTTATTTCTTAGTCTGCACTTTCGATGTCGAACCCAGAAATGGTGCATAGTTAACATGTGAAAATACTTGTAAAATACTCCCGTAAATACAGGGTGTCTCAAAAGTATGTATACACTGTTTGATCGTTAATATCTCTCTTTCCAAGGAGTCTTCTACCTACCTTCAGGTACCATTTTGTAGAGCTAGCTTCAACTTAGATTCACAGTATGCAGCGAACCACCGATCGCTCTTCGATACTGTAGGATAATGGTAGGAACTTTTGGCTTACAGCGCTGTGGATTAGTCAAGTTTCAAAAAAGTTCCCAAAAATTCTGAAAAGTGGTGCACTAGGGTTTCTAGGTAGGTTGGTTTTATTACTCAACTATATAGGAGTTTGTAAACGTTTCCAAAGGGTGTGACAGCAATTTTAGGGAGCATCGTAAAAACAGCTATTACGGTTTACCGGGTATAAGTCATGAAGGAAGCATCGCGGTCAGATGCAAAGTTCATATTTGGTTTTAGCGACTTCAACTAGCCTAATTTGAGAGTTTCCAGAATGTTTGGTTTGCTTTCTAAGGCGGAATAGGACCCTAATGGCTCAAAATCCTCCTTGAAGTTCCTACCATAATCCTACAGCAATGAACGAAAACAGTCAATTCGCTCCATACTGTAAATCTAAGTTGAAGCGTGCTCTACAAAACGGCACCTGAAGGCGGGCAAAAGACTTCTAGGAAAGAGAGATATTGATGATCAAACAGTGTATACATACTTGTGGGACACACTGTATGTATAAATAATTTTTATAAAAGTGAAATGCTCTCTTTTGGATTCAGCTAATCATATTAGCGAAGTGCAGGCCATCTCGAGATTACAAGAATAGCAAAAATATTGATATTATCGTGCAAATGATAAGAGATAGAAATCATACAAATTATTGATTCATTGCGTTTATTCTCAGTCTTCCGCGGAACTCCACAGAAAACAAAGAAGACTTAAGATCATCAAGTAAAATTACAGAAGAACGTTTTGTAGCTCTTGTGCCTAGAATTTGCATAACTCCATGACATTTTCGCTTCTTCGAGGCAAGCTGAGCAGATTCCAAGAATTGTTGAAATTATTAGTAGCAATCAATAATTAATTAATTATTAGTAGAGGTTTCATTAGTAGAAGTTCTATCATACTTCATACAGTATTTCCATCACAAACATGTTCCTTCTTACCCACCCCTTTCTCAATGGATACAACTACTCACACGAAGAACGGTGTCCAACAGACAGTAAAACATCCTAGAATGATTCCGAGTACTTTGACGCCACGACGTTCTTTTGCAGCGGAAATCGCTTTTGGCTTCGGAGGACTTTTGAACTTCGGTTTTCTACAAATTTGAGAATAGCTAAAATCATGTGTGACTGGATCCACATTATAGTGAAAGTGAATATCTACCTGTTCACGAGGCGCTCACTCTTTTCCCGTCGCAGTTTTCTGCTCGCAGTTCTTGGAGGTGTGTCCCCTCTCCGTTCGCAGGATACGCAGCGTTTCATATTTGAAGGACTTTGGTCAAAAACCTATAGATACTTGGAAAAGTGATGGTGATGATGGAATACAGAAAAACTACCGCATTGCTGTCCCGTCTACAAAGCGTAGTTTGCGTTGGCTCACTGGCTCTACCCGTGTAGTTCGTGATTGCTGTGCTCTGAATACGAAAACAATGCAAAACTAAATATTTTTTCTTTGGTTTCCTACTTGTGTCATGGAAGTACTCCTAAAACGTGATTTCAATACTCCAATTTTAACCAAAATAATGCTCAGAGGAGCTGTGGATGAAAATTTTTGAGGCTTTTCCCGCTATATGCCGACGAAGGGTGAAATGTACAAAATGGTGAAAAAAAGAATCAATAAATGGTCGTACACTGAATTTTATGGTTAAGCTAGTACTGTTTCGCTGCCTACAGTTGCAGGAAAATAGCATCTTGTGATGCCACAATTTTTTGATCAAAAATCTATCGTACTACCGTTTCAAATTTCGCGCCGTTCTTCGTGGCCGTCAAATTTAATACACTGCATTTCATTAAACAAACGTAGCTTCTTGAAACCATTCACCTCTTGAACTGTTGTATTTGATCTATTGTCACAATCCTCTAGTATGGGAACTTCTTCCGTACCAAATCCGTTTTCTACACGATTTGAGCTTGTGCCTTAAGAAAACAAAAATTCGCTGTCAATAGAACTGGCAAAAAACATACTGTCTTCATCTTCCTTGTCAAAAACGTCAGGTGCTGGTAGTACGTGGCTTATCTCATGTAGGATAGTTGATTCAATATGTTTCCTTATCACCTAAATTCAAACAACTTCTGTTAAACAAATCCTTCAAGAATTACAGGACGGAAAACTCACTTTTTGTCGATAAATCTGTCGAGCACGATGCTTTGCAAAAGCTTGATATATTTTAAAATAGACGAAGAACATCAATAATGTTGGAATGAAAAATGAACCGGTAGCCGAATAAACCGTATAGCTTGGAAGATCGAGGAATGTACAATGTCGCACCATATTGTCGTTTTCATAAATAAGATTAGGTGTAATGGCTGTCTGAAAATAAGAGCTATGGGTTCATAATGCAAAACGAAATTATGCACGATTTAGTACCTGTTTCCAACCTAATAAAGGAGCTAGAGATATCAGTGCGCTAGAAAACCACACAGAAAGTATCATAATGCAGGCTGTCCGTTTATTTCTGGAAATATTCTTCTTTTTATCGGAAGATTCTGAAGATTCTGATCTACGGTTTATCTCATCGCGTTTCATCAAGAAGTTGCTTAAATCCATCATAGGGCAAGTTTATTCACCTTAGCTATTACGTAGTGTTTCCATAGATTTTGGGCTACAGTTGAGTTATTTGTATACGCGTATTGCATCATATTGTATGCATAGTATTTTACGACTAATGTGCTAGCAGTTCCATTTTGCAGAACTTTTAGAATCTCCTCTTCTTTTGAGCACGAGTAGGTGCTAGAAGGTGCAAATCATATTTTTTCAACAGATGGTTCTATCAGAAACCATTTTTGATGCCTGTCTGGTAACAGGATTCGTGGGGTATTGCGTGCAGTCTGCAAGGCGTACATATCAACTTAGAAGTGACAAGACTTCGTTGTCAAGTCAAAATAAACCCCATAAATAACTCGCTCTGCAACTTCGGATGGTAGCTGAACCCTAAGCGCGAATCGAGTTAACCGCCGCAAATTCTAGATTGCGCATATTTTTGGAGCGTATTCCGATCTTCGAGTAATGTATGCACTCTGCGACTTCAAATCTAATCAAACATATCTCGCGTATTATGGGGATGTTTGTGCTACGCAAGTTGAATGTGGCTTATGGTGCTTGGTAAATCAGGATTAGATTTGAAAAATATTGCTTGCAAATGAATAGATGTACAGCCTAGCAAGTTGACGGTTTAGTGGTGCCTTTGCGGTCCTACAACATTTGCCCGCAAACAAATGCCATGCTTCACTAACTACAACTAGCGCTTTGCGTGCACAAAATTATTGGGAGTTAGCATTATAAGATCAATATCACTATGTAAATGTAATGTCTGATATGGATGCTCTCCAAATCATACACTTGTGGTTATGACGATTATACCTTTCATGGAGAGATTAAAGGCAGTGGCTCGGCAAATCCTCGACATGAAGCTTTTTCGCTTACCTGGGTTAATTCGACGCGCTGATTTCGAAAATACACCTTGAAGAGCGCGAAAACGGCGAAAACTAGCATTTTCCTGATGCTCGTCATTTTGAATTCGGACGAGTGTAACGCTTCACATCATGATTAGAGACGTAGAGTCGTTGCGCGACCCTCATGTTTACAGCATAGTGGCATGCCGCCTCTGACGGTGGCAGGGGAACTGCAAGCTCGTCTAAGAATGGCTTGCGCGCACAGGTTTGGAGCAGTTCTCTAGGCAGGGGCAGCATGTAGTGCGCTCGGACCTGCTCTGTTCTGATGTTTGTGAACAAGCAACCTTCCATATCAAAATTTCGAGATGTTTGCTTTTGCCGAGCCACTGCCTTTAAAACTATTACACCGTTTCATCAATGTTTTAGACTCTTTTGCAAAGGCTCGTCCATAGATGCGTGAGTCGGCACTGAGCCTGCGCAGGGGGTAGGGCATCGAACTCCTCCAGTCGAACCGCCTCCGCGGACTACTGGTCCTGCAATGACATGCAACAATATAGCAAAAGGACCACTTGCCATCGAAGGCGGGCTCAAACTGGCGGAGTTCCCCTATCCCAACGTGGGCTGGCACAGACGCCGCGACGTCGCGCGCGCGGTGAAGAGAACAAAACGCATGGCGCACAAACGCGCTGTGTCATTATGCCATCTCGTGCCAGCCCTATGGGGCACCTAGGCAACTATACACGCACTAAAGCTAGATTTCTTTTGAATGAAGCGCGTAACTTGCTCCTCTAATAATTGCAAAAATTTCAACAAAAGTCTGGCTCACCTCTTTCTCATATAAGCAACAGGACTCGTTATGGCCCAGTACCGATCCAGCCCCACTATTGATAGGTTCCATATCGAAGCTGTCGAACAGAGAATGTCGGCTGAACAAGAAAGAACACTTTTATGCTTTGCAGGTGTAACAGTGACAGCTACCTGATACAAAAACTTCACATAGAGCATCAGGAAAGACCCATTCCCCTGCGACAGCATAAACTGACGACAGTGGCAGCACTATCAAACCAAGACAGAGATCAGAAAAAGCTAGATTACCAACCTGTAAAATACTTGGGTTGAGTTTGAGACATCTAACTTTTGGAGAAACAAAAGGTTGGTTCTCTTTTCTTTTGAAAATTTGCATTATTTTACAGAAGCAGATGTGTGAAGAGTATAGAATTTCAGTAGGTTTTGTTGCGAATGACTCAAATGCATTTCCATGATGTTGACGTTCGTTTGCCATCCCCTCAAATGGGTAATGCGTAAATCGAAACAACATGCTTACTTTAAAGCTCAATTGAAAAAGCTAAGAGAAGGATCAAGAACACAGAAAAGTGCAGTTGCACACATTATCAAAGAAAGCTCCACTGTAGAGAAGGTCTTCAAAATCAGCGAAATTTTTTGAAAACTCGCAATATAAAATGCTACAATTTCAACTCTTCCTTTACACTGACATCATAACCAAAATGACGATCTGATTTAGGACCAAGATAAGGAGTTTCAATATAGATTTGATTTTCAACAGAAGGAATTGCTTACCAGTAGGTTTGGCACCGTTTGTAACCTTGGATTTTTGTACAGAACGATGAATACTAAAGAGTTGGCGAAGACGGTCCATGCAACAAGCAGAAACAATGCACCTCCTTTGAGAACCTGAAAACGACTTAACTGATTGAAAGCGTCCAATTTGAGAAAAAGGCTGTTTTGAGTTGGCGGATAATTTTTTTCTTGCATTTTGCTGATTATATTACAAAACAGAAGCTTTCCAAAAGCTTAAAACTTGCTTTACACATACGACATGACGGAGTTCATGATCAGCATAATGGGAGCAAATACACGCATAAAAAACAAATTCATTATTTTGTTGATAAACTCATTTACTCACTTTCTTATTTTTATGATTCTCCACTTTTTCTCTTTCGTACTTTTTGAGGACGTATTTGGCACTTTTCGTACTCCCTTCTATGTCTTCTTCCAAAAACGAAAAGGTTAAAGAAGCCAAAAGAAAATTCGAAAATTTGCGGTAATTTTACATATTAGCTGCATCGTTCAAAAATTGATAAAGAGAACCTAATTATAACTTTTAGAAACTTCTGACAAGATTTCCCCCTGATTGCATACCTAGAATGTTTAGTGCAACGGAATTTATCTGCCAACAATATATGTAATCTAAACATTCTTATTGTTAGACCCCACCTGGAAGGCTGTGTATGTATGAATCGTCGTGTCGTTTATCATCACATTGCTCGAACTAAAGAATGCAATAAGTCTTACCATGTACGAATTGTTTTATATGATTCGAATATTACGCCGTACAGGCAACCTACGAGGTCGATATTGTCATATTACTAGCACATACCAGAAAAAACAGAGAAGCGCTTAGAATAAAACGACTCTGATTTGTTACGAAACTATTCTTATGGATCGGATGGAACACATATAGTGACACTGTCTGTTCCTCTATGAAAAATACATTTTAAACAATAAACAGCGCTACCGCTTTAACACGAATATTCGTGATGGATTAGCGGCAGCGTGTACAATTTATTGCCAGGTCTCTGATTTGCATATCGGAATACTATACCAGGAAGTTGGTCGTACAATGTCAGGTATTGTTGTAGAAGAAAGTTATATCGAGAAAATGTGAGAATTTTCGTTTTACTCTCAGAAATTCGTCAGATTATAGTGCTGCTCTACCAATCAAATCAAAATACGATCAAGTTGAAAACGTGTTAGTTTGCACTAGTTTTTATGTAGCGCCATCGAAAGTGATTTCTATTTCAACATTACCGAAAAGTGAGATGAAAACAAGAGAAAAACGCGACAGTCATAATGAGGGTTAACAGATTCTCACATTAGATAGAAAGTCGGCAGTGAAGAACTATTGAAAGAGAAAGAAATCGAAGGTTGGACTAACTTACTGACATAAACAAATTCCGTTTCAGACAGAATTAACAGAAGCAGTTGAAAGGAAGGGTTGTAAAATGAGGTTCCACTTCGAAGATTTTAAAAGAGTAAAACAATTAGCAGACAGTTTTGAGAATGGCATGGTATTATATTCTATGAGTTACTAAATGCTGAGATTTTTATGCACGTGATTATGCGAACTGAGAGAAAAGTGTAGTTTTGAAAAAGCATTTCCCATGAAACAATGTAGTCCACACACCTCTCAAAGTCTTATTGAATGTCAAGAGAGCTACGATTGTGCTCAAAATATTTTTGTTATGTTTAAACTCTAAACTACGGAACTGCGTAAAAATTCGTTCTCGTAGTCTATGTAAAAATTTTCTTGTGAGACCTCTGCTTTTGATTCCTTCTAGATTCCTATTTACTTAACCGACGAGGTCGAAAGTGTATTTGAGAACGAGAGCTCAGTGCTACCAAAGACATTCACTTCAAAAATATGTGCCAAAAATGATAAATTTGGAGAAAAAACATAGTTCATTTTTCATCTAGAAAATTGCTTTTTTTATCTAATAAAACCCGCACCGAAGGCAAATTCTGAACAATGTTTACAGATTGGCCATTTTCTTGAACGCTCCTGTAATTTTTGCAAACGATCACATTACAGCATGCTAATTATAGCATAGCCAATTCGTTTTCACTTGCTCATTACTTATTTATTTACAGTCTCATAGTCTCGTTATGTTATTTATTTCTCATGAGTGTTTGGTAAGCCAACTCACCACCCACTCGAATAAAAAAGTATGTTTTCGTCATGATGTATCAAACATTAAGGTCGAAACTCTCATTTACGGATTAGGAAAGTGATGTGTTTTTTTGAGAAACGTCATTTTAGTAATAACAGGAATTGGATCTTCACTGAATTCGCATCACTTCGAGCTAATATAATTCATTTTATAAAGATCAATGATGTGATTATAGCAATAAATCGAAACAAACACAGAGAACACAGTGACTTTCAATAATTCGTGTGAGTTGGAGAAAGTAACCATAGCACTGCCGTTAGCTACGTCGTAAAGATCACAATCAAGAAAGGGCTTATAAAGATTCTGTAGCTTAAGGTCCTTTCAACAGCACTTTTTATTTCCTTTACTTGTATTTTCAAATGAATACAAAGGTCCAAATGAGGTTTAACTTGGATCAGCTTAGGGGATGAAGACGAATAAGTATATATAGAAAAAAGTTTAGACTCGAAGCAATCAAACTCGTACAGGGTACATCACGAAGAGCCGGAAGCAGGGCTCGGCACATCTGGCACCGGATCAAGCTGGATATCGTTTATGTGACAAAAAGCAAAGGGGATATCGTTTTTTTGGCCGGTGAAGACAAGAACTGCGACGGTTTTTAGTCGACGTTTCGCTTTTGAGGGTTTTTTACGTTCAGAGTTTAAGGTCAAATGGGATTTCGTTTTGAAATTTCCCTGGTGCAAGCTCGTGCCGAGCCCTGGCCGGAAGTGCACCGAAATGGAACGGTACTACTTGCCTCCTCTACGAAAACTATTTGCTCCTTAGTTCGACATTTTTACGAATAAAAATATCATACAGTAATCGTTGGCCCCAGCACTAAGATTCTAGAGATCTGCAGTAACAGGAACCCATCAGAAAAAATGAGATGTGGGATTATTCTAAGAAATATATCTACTCGCGAACGCGAATATAGTGTGCATGCTAGGCTTCTAATGCTATAGTACGATTATACGCAAAGTAAAGCATTTTACTCTACCTTGTTACTATCCTAACTTCTCCACTTTTAAAGGTACAATTTTGTTAAGGGAAAAGCTTTCTGAGGGTTCTATGAAAAGTTTGACAATACTCTGCTTTACTACAGTATCCTTAATCATAGGTAAATATAGTGTGCCCGTTTTAGTGGATTATTTATATGAACGCCACTTAAGCATGTCTGACTAACAAAACCTGAAGTGTAGGGAGTACATATATTAAAAAGAAATGGAATGTTAGACAATTGCCATGCAAATACAAAAAAATCGAAGAGAAACTACCATTCACTATAGAAAAACCGAAGCGATGTCTCTTCACACAATCCTTCTATATAAAGCTGAATGTCTGTTTGTCTGTCTGTCTGTATGTCTGTCTGTCTGTGTGTCTGTCTGTACGTATGTTCCGAATAGAAAATTCCATTTTTGAACCGATTCGGACCAAACTTAGCACACATACACTTCGGGCCCCGGCGGGTGTCATAGGCTACTTTTCGTCATCGATCGATATCGATTCTTTCGATTTTTATCGATTTTTTTGCAGAGTTCACCTACGGGGCTGGGAGTTGGCACAGGGGGGTAAGTGGGCATGGCGATTTCGAATACAATGTTAGTTTTCAGGATTATCGATTGCTTTTATCGATTTTATCGATTTTTTTCAAAGTTTTGAGCTACAGGGCTGGGAATTGACACAGGGGTATGTGGGCATGCTGATATCGAAAACAACACAGGGAACGGGAAAAGAAGTGTAGAAGTGAGCACAGGGAAAGGCTGTACAGGGATAGGGACCTTTATTACAGTGTTTTGACAGGGCCGAGCGGAGCCGGGTAAGCAAGCTAGTCTTAAATAAAACACCTTCTTGAAAATCATTTGATTTCTTTCTTTTTCTGAGATTTGTTTTTTAAAATGTCAAAATCCCCTCAGAAGCAGCTGCTATGATACCAGAAAAAATCATGTTTGTATATCCAAGAAATGTATGATGTCTCTCTCACCAATCGTAAATAACAATGTCCATACCAGTCCATCACAAATGTCAGATTTTGATAGACTAGACATGCTGCTATTCCATGGAGAAGCGCTTCAAATCCAAGATTGCAGAACATTCTGAGTTCTTGCAACTTGTAAAATCGAGGAATCTATACATGTGGCAAATAGCTTATTAAGATGGAGCGATGCAGTAGATATACCTACGTTACTGGCGGAAATGTGCAAGCTATGACGATTAGCTAAAGTGATGCTAGAGTGGCTTCGAAGAATAAACAATCTCAGTCAATCGTAACTATTAAAAATTTTGTCCCTACATCGCAATTTGCGAAAGATCAAGGGAGGTTCTGCAGTATCGGCTGAACCTGCTAGGGAAAACATATTGATATAGGCAATTGAAAGAGAGTTTCTTCGAGTGCAGCTAAGGTCTCACAAGGAAAAACAAACTTACTAGTTACCACAATTACGCGGAGAGCACTTTCGTGATGAGAAAAACTTGTTCGTTGCGATTCGAAGCACTGCGCCGCTCTCGTAATCGACATACTAAGCAGATGCCAAGCATCGAGTTGAGAGTGGATGTTGGCGAAATCTGGACCGAGTAACACTCATATAAACAGACCGAAGATGCCGTCGAATGTAGCCGTCGGCTCGTATTGGCAAACTGCCAAGTGCAGCGCCTTACTAGAACACGGTTATGTTCTACATGGCTGCATTATCAGACATCTCTTCTGTGTCCTTTGCAGATTAGCAGGCACAGCTTGCAGGAGTTTTTGTTCGCTTTTGCGCATAAATGAAGGATTAGGAACTATGTAGAATGCTTGTTGTGCCAATTAGTTGCCATGGAGCTATCGGTTGTGCACATTATTCCTATTATTATCCATGATAGATATAGAGTCATGTAATGCCGGCTTTGGGATAAGTTCATTGCATCTACTCAAGGATTCTTGCATCAGTTCTTGATTTTCTGTGCGTCTGGAACATTCTTCAGCATATGCGCTGTTTTAGTTCGATTTTTTATCCGATTTTCTTACACAAAAAAGTAAAGTTTTCTCACTTGTCCTCCTCCCACTTCACCTCCTCAAGCTATCTTGAAATTATACAGGGCGTACCAAAAAGGTGTGCCTACTGTTTGATTGTTATGTAACTCTCTAGTAATGAAGTCTTTCGAGAAGCTTTAGCTGCCATTTTGTAGAGCTGGCTTTAACTTAGATTTACGGTATGGAGTTCAAGTAATAGATAGAGAGCAGTCGGTACGGATTACTGACTGCTCTCCATTACTTGAACTCAGCGTCATATTACATTAGTTTTTACTTTTTTTTGAATTTTGAAGCAGCAGCTTTTTCACAGTACCATATGAAGCTCTACCGTAATCCTACAGTAAAGAAGAGCGACCGGTGATTCACTCTTTACAGCAAATCTAAGCTGAAGCCAGCTCTACAAAACGGTACCTAAATAAAAGAGAATGTTAACAATCAAAAAGTAGAATCTTTTTGGCACACCCTGTATAGAACCACAAAGAGCCCAAACACTACAAACCTAGTTCAGAACTATGAGCAAATTGCCGGGAACTTCTGAAATAAGATAGGTATTCAAAAACGATGAGCATTGAGCTTTG